GGGCAGGGACACCTTCCACTAGCCCAGGTTGCTCCAAGCCCTGTCCAACCTGGCCTTGGACACTCCCAGGGATGGGGCAGCCACAGCTTCTCTGGGCAACCTTTGCCAGGGCCTCCCCACCCTCACAGGGAAGGATTTCTTCCCAGTATATAACCTAAACTTCCCCTCTTTCAGTTTGAACCCATTACTCCTTGTCTCCTCACTTATTGCCTTTATACCAAGGGAGTGAAATTGGTGCTCCATCAGCAGATTTTTTTGGGAGCTTAATTCAGCTTTCCCTCCTTTCAGCCTTGAAGATAAATTGGTACTTCAGTTTACATCAAGACTTTTAGCCAGTTTAGCTGGAGAGAGGGATGCCACGGGCACCATGTGCACGACAGCATTTTAAACAGCTACATTCACAGCTCAGCTCTAGTCTCCATCTCACACTGCGGGGTAATTTACAGCTGTTCCCACACCCTCCTCGTGTGGAAGCAGTTGTAAACTCCAAAAGCATCAGCAGTTTGTGGAAAACGTGATGTTTATGCACATCCCACTTCCCACATGGCGCTGACCCACCCAGTGCCAAGCAGCCGTCACCTCGGGGGGGACAGTCTGTCTGTCCCACCCAGCCTGGCACCACCAGGGGCTCACCAGGGTGGTTTTGCCTCCTTCCCCAGCAAGCCTTCAACGCCGCAGCCGTCGTTCACCACATGAAGAAGCTCCACATGAGCGGCCACGCGGCGGCCGAGAGCCCCGCGCCCGCCACGCCCGGCCCGGGGGCCTCCACGCCCAGCACGCCCTTGGTGGCCACCCCGCCAGCAGCTCCGAGCAAAGACAAGGACACAGCACTCCCTGAGGTCCCCACGCAGGGCTGTGCAAACCCTCAGCTGGAGCAAGACACGGGAACGGGAGAGGAGGAGCTGGGAAGCCACCCGGAGAAGGGAGCGTTGCCCGCGGGCAGCAGCCTGGTCCTGCCGGACAACAACCACAGCCCTCCAGGCAGAACCTCCTGTGGCTGCAGCCCGGCCTGTGTGGGGCACGAGAAGACAAAGACATCCTTCTGCTCCGAGCCGGTGCTGCTGAAAAAACCTTCCAAGTCCCAGTAGGTATCCAAGATGTCAGACAGAACTTCCAGCACGTTATATGGGAATAACCACCTCTTGGAAGGGGTCCCCTGGCACGTGGGTTGCCAGGTGGAGGTAGAAAGGGAGGAATAAGCAAATGCTTTGGCGGGCTGGAAGCTGTGCCCAGCCAAGTGCCTGCTGTGTGTGTGTGAGCATGGGGTGAGGCAGGTGCCAGGGCTGCGGGCACAGCTCGCTCTGAGCCGAGGCTCTGCTGCCTCCCACCACGGGCTGGAGCACATTTGTTCTCCAGTAACTGAACTGCCCAGTGATCAAAGCTGCTGGTGCAGAGTGACCAGAGCCTGCCTCTGCTGCAGTGACTCCACTCTGCTCCTGGCACTGATGGTCTGTATATTAACAACACAGTTTCGATTCCCCCCCAGAACGATTGTAAATGTTGCTTTTCCTCTCTTTTCTTCTTTCTGTTCCAACTGTTCTGTTCCCAACCAGTCATTTCAAAACAGAAGTTCTTGTTCCAATGAAGACCAGTAAACACTCCTCTCACTGTGGCACTGGGCAAACTGGAGTTTGTTTGATCATGTGATGGAGGCAGCTGCCGGGCTCTCCACATCACCAGTGGTAAGTGCTCTGCAATCCAATCACCAGCTGCTTTTAATTAATCCCATTAGGGCAGGAAAAAGGGAAAGGCACAACTAGAAAAGTGACTGTGCATGAAAGAAATGAACTCACCCTTTTTTTTGGAACGGAAAAAGCTTTAAACTAAAGCACCTTTCAGGGAATGAATCATCTCTCAGCTTCCATTAAGGCCAGTCCAGTGACTCTGAATCCAACTTCTGCATTACAATAGGGTTGCCCAGGAACATGGGAGAGGAAGCCAAGCATGGGCTTGTCATATCAAGCTCTGCAATTATTCCAAGCTACTCACTGGGAAACACACTGATCCAAACAGCTCTGGCAGCTGGGATTGGGGTTTTTCAGCTGTGACCATGAGCAAAGGGCTGACAAGAGGCTGCTGGTCCAGGGCTGGGCACAGCCAAGATGTCTCTGTGGCCTAAAGGGCCATTCCCTTTCCCAGATTTGGTCCAGGCAGGTCTGAGTGTCTTTGTCAGCAGAGAGCAGAGCAAGGAAATGCTCAATTTGTAGGTGAGCAGCGTAAAATAATGAAAGTTTCATCCTGTTTGACCAATTTGGATAAATTCTGTTATCACATTGTATGTGAGCAGTAAGAAGCACTGCTATTAGATCCTGCACTAAAGAATGCTCCCCAAAGGTGAGCACCTGCTGGCAGAGCTCTCCTCAAAAGCTGCATCAAGTGAGCTCCCCCCTCTCATCTCCTGTGCCAGTCTCTGCTGATGAGACTGTGTGAACAGGACTGCAAGGCACAAAGGATTAACAGCACAGACAAATGCGTGTCAGATCCACTGTAGGCTCCAAGAAGGTTCATTCCAATGATCAGTCATGTAATAACCCTTTATAACTAAGCACACAAAGGGATCTAAGCTGCTCCTAACCCCTGTGCTACTGCTCATTAACAGCACATTCTGCAGGCAGCAGTCTAGTGAAACAAGGTTCAATCCTCAACTGATTCTCTCTCTCTTGCAGAAACAGAAGGGCTGTTTTACTCTTTTCTGCACTTCAAAGCCAGACATCACCAGTGCAAGCAAAGAAAGGAGGCTGTGTCCCACCAGCAGCTCTCACAGAGCAGTGACCAGCTGGGGACAGCAGCACAAGTCCCAGGAATCCATCACTGCAGTGACCTCGGGGTGTTTCTGGATCATTAGAGCTGGGAGAAGGCAAGGGAAAGGCTGAGGGTCCTGCTGGCATATCCAGTGTATATTATCCATATGGCATCGCTCATGCTACAGGCTTTTGTTTTCCTGTTTAGTTGTCCAAGGCATAAGTGCACTGCACAACACCAACCCTCCAAACCAAAGCCATGCAGAGCTTTACCCAGTGGCAGGGCAGTTATTTTTACAATCTTCACCCTCTCCACTCCTCGGGGTTTGGTTAGTCCCAGGCTTTGGCACTCTGGAGTTCAGCATTTCCCAGCTGCCCACTCAGGCTGCTCAGCTCCCACCACAGCCATAAGAGGAGAGAGAACCTGCTAGAAACCTCCGTGTGTCTGATGAGAACACAGCAAGGTCTGAGTCCCCTGCTTCCGAGCCTGTAATTGCACAATAAATACTTGCTTAATAAAGCTGGGTTTTGTTTTGTAAGCTGCCTCTTGGTTATTCATAGAAACCTGATGTGCAAATGGTCTGTCAAGCCCCTCCTAAAGCATTCCCTGTGCATCCACAGACCTGCTCCCGCTGGTGTTTTCTGGCAAAGTGTTACAACACGGGCAGATTGTGACAGAAAATCAAACAAGGCACTTGAGTTGTGCACAGGGAGATAAAATTCTCCATTTTTGCAATCTGGTTATTTGAAGAAAGATCTCTGATGGAAGCACTGAAGCCGTGGCAAGTTTGAAGGATTAAAAAAAAAATGCTTTTAAAAGAGCCCACGTGGCAGATTTAATTTGAACAGTGAAATTCAGCTTAAAGAGCTTGAATTGGCTAAAACGAGAAAAAACATTTCTTGGTTTATAAACCCCTCTGGAAATAACACCTTGGGGATGTTTTTATTTGTCACGGGAGACTGATATCTCTCCCTTTTTTCCTCCAACCACTGGGCAGCTTCTGCCAGTCCAACCTTCTCCATGGGATTGCTCCTTTGGTTCAGTGCAGCTCTTTTCCAGAGGTACAGAAACTTAATTTGCTAAAAATAGAGATACTGAGCCGGAAAATGGGAATAAATACAGCAGTCAGTGTCAGCAGAGGAGGCAGGCAGTGCCTCTGGAGTGTGGTGGCTCTCTCAGGAGCAGCTGTCATAGTAGGAGACTTTCTTTTTGATGGCATCTCGGATCTTTCCCACCTGCTCCTCCAGCCCCGACAGCCTGGACCACTTGGACATCAAAGCCTTGTTGCTCTCCTGGATTTCTGTCTCTAAAGCTGAGGAGAGAGGGCAGGGAAGGGTTATGTGATGGTTGGGCTGAGCCTCCCTCCTGCACAGCTCCGGTGGGGTGAGAAAAACCAACATCCTGCATTTCCTCCTCTCTCCCTCCAAACAACCCCACAACACGACTGCTCCCAACAAAGCCATCAGTTTGGAATGCTTAAGAAGGGAAGTAAATATGTGGAGGAAAACAGGGCCACACTGGCACTGCAGGCAGGGATTCCCTTCCACTGTGGCCCCCTGGAAAATTCCGAATTTACAGGCACAGAACCATCAGATACAGCCCAAATCCCACCATCACACTGCCAAAAGTACATTGTCTTCCTCATAATTTCTTTCCCTCACACCACGGGAGTCCAAAAGCTTCTTCCCCAGTGCATGAGATTGTTACATTGAGTTCATAAATCTTACTTTCCATCCTGAGCATGATGCCCAAGGTTTCCTCAAAGAGAGCCCGTGCCTCCTGGCCTATGCTCTGCACTCTGCTGCCCTGCTCTCCCAGTGCTGGGCTCTGCTCCATCCTGCTCTTCAGCTCGGAGTACATTTGCTTCACTTGTTCAAAAGCCTGGGGAAAAGCAAATAAAAAGTGCAAGTGGGATCACTCAAATAGGCTCTGGAGAAGGGATTTTTCCAGTGCTGAATCCTGTTTAAATGTTAAATGGATATTGCACTGGAGCTTTGTCCTTGATATCATGCAAACGTGTCACAGTCTCTACTGATGAGATTGTATGAACAGGACTGGGATTAACAGACACAGAAGAGACAAACGCAAGTCAGACCTACTACAGGCTCCAAAAAACTCCATTTGTGATGCACTCAAAGACCGACTGACAGCTCAACAAGCTGCTCTGCCTCAGGCAGGACAAAGAGCAGAAATAAGTTTCCAGCAAAGGGCATCAGGACTGAGACAGATCCTGGAAAAACTCAGCAGTGAGTGGGACAGATACCGCAGCTGGTTAACAAGAAGCGACGCCGTGACCTGAACGGGAAAACTCCTTCGTCTTGTCTACAGCCACATCTGGCTGGGCTGGTTGGGGAGGAGGGCACAGCTGTGGCAGCCCCCCGGGGTGGTACCTGCTGGGCACTCCTGGCCTGCTGTGCCGCCGTCTCGGCCGTGTGCCGCGTGTCCGTGGCCCGCAGGCGGTTCTGGTCGGCCCCGCGCTGCAGCCGCTCCAGCCGCTCCCCCAGCCCGTCCAGCTGTGCCCCGATGGCAGCCACGTTCTTCTGGGCTGGCCCAAGGACGGCCTCGATCTGGAAGGTGACAAGGAAGCCACGTTCAGCCCCCGTTCAGCCCCCGCTCCTCGGGGTTTTTCCTCGGTGCAGGTCGGCTGTGGAGGTTGGCTGGTTCCAACTGCAGGATTCCCGGGCAAAGCTGGGGTGGCACCAGCGATTTCTGTCCACACAAGGGTTGGTGCTGGATGACTCTGGTGTATTTAGTTCCACTTTAGGTCACCTACAGCGACCTTAACCACCTCGCCTGGCTCTGTCTTGGAATGATGACAGCGGAAACACAAACCAGGCCGTGCGTTCCATCTGTGCTGTGCTCCCTGTGCAGCCAAGAGTCCAGCAGGGACCATGACTGGCGTGTGGAGAACACCAGCGAGGCACATTTTTACAGCCAAAGCTTCCCCAGATCCCACTTCCCTGCTGCTCTGGCTCAGGACTCCAAAAGTGGCCTCCACAAGGACTCTGCATTTCCAAAGGAGTGCTGAGCAGGGCGCAGGAGCGTTGCTGGGAGGCGTCACTCACCTCATCAACGCGCTCCCGGATGAAGCGAAGGGAAGAGCCCGAGCCCCTGATGGCTCCCTGGGCCTCCAGGAGCATCGTGTTTGCTCGCTGCAGGTTCCCCACCACCTCCTCCACGTTGCCCTCCACAGCATTTGCCCGGTTCCTGGGGAAATGTGGGAAAGCAGGACTGAGTGTAGGTAACTGCAAGTCAGGATTGCAGAGGTGAAATGAGGAAGCTTGAGAAGCAAGAGAGGATTTGCTACTGAGAAGCTTGTAATCTCCCTCCCCCAAAAACCACAAAGCCACACGTCTGGACTCCTGCAGGTTTCCTCTTAGAGAAGTCTCAGTTCCACTTCACAGCCCCAGGCAGAGGAGACAAACTGAGAAGGGGAGAGAAACCCCTTCCTTCAGACTGCTCAGAAACATTTATTTTGTAAATGGTGCATGAAAAAGTATCGAAGGGAAAGTAATAACCACTGAACCAGTTTCAATGAATACTTTTCTGCTCACAGTGGGACTGTTCAGCCTGGGTTGCAGAGCTCTCCATAGAAAACCAGACTCCCCTGTCTCATCACTTCCAGCAGGTTAAGCAGGTGTCAGACACTGTCAAGGAGTTTACAGACTCATCCCATTAACCTTCTCACTGGGATATTGCTGCAAGTCAACACGTGACAAAGCAGATGCTCCAAAGTTGCAAGGACACCCTGTAATTACTTTTTAAGGGACCATGGAATAATCCTCCCAACTTTCACCCAGAAAACAAATAGCCCATTTAATCTCCTCGTGCTCTCTTGTGCAAATGGGATGTAGGTCACCAATATCAAGCGACACCAGGGCAACCCTGTCATCTCCCAACACAGAGATAAGAGAAAAGCCTCCATTATTCAGGTAAAGCCCTTCTTGTTCTGGTATCCACAACAGGATCTATTCTTGGCAGCCAGATTTGTTTGCACTGGGACCCCGGGGAGGTGTCTAGAGATTGCAGACTCATTCTGGATGGACACAGAATACCACGGCCTAGAACTTCAGATTGTGCAAGTCAGTACAGCTCAGGCAGAGCGAGATTTCAACCCAGCTGAGAACCACCACGTTCACCCCCTCAGCTGAGTGCCCCTCAGCTGCCAAAGGCCCTTGAACCCCAACCCACCTGGCTTGTTCTGCCTCCTGCTGAAGCTGCTTGGCCTTGGCAATGTCCTCGGCTGTCTGGGCAAGGATGTCCTCGGGGCACTGCAGCTGAGTGGCCAAGTTCTGGATCTCAGTCATTTTTCTCAGGACTGCAGCAGCGTCCGTGGGGAGACGCAGGGAGAGGACTGACTCACTGATTTCCTGGATGGCGGCAGGATCCGTGTCCTTGTCTGCAGAGCAGACAGACAGACAGCATCAGGAAGGGGAGAGGAGAAGGTGGGAGTGCAAATGCAAGGGAGGAGGAGGGCAGACAGCCAGCCTTGCATGCTCTCACACACAGTCTCCTCATTTCAGACACCTGCCACGATCCACCCTGAGTTCATCTCCTTGAATTCAATGTACTCCTCATTTCCCTTTCAGGAAAGGGCTGCAGTGATATCTTTAATTTGGCAATGAGAACACCATGGCTAAACCCAGAGCACAGTCAGGCAGATCTCACTGAGCAGATGAGGGTGTGTTTCAAGACAAGCCCCTTTTTTACTTCACAAATGGAAGTTAATACATCAGAAGCAGGCAGAGCCCAAGGGACATTAGCCCAGCGATTAGCTCAGAAATATCTTCACTCATCATTAACCCCAGGCAGCACCAAATGACCTGATTTTCTCATTCAGCTAATGCTCATGAGGCTCATTATGTTATTACAAACAATAAGTCATCAGTTTGTAGGACAACAAGGAATTCTCATCTGATTAACAGTCTCCTCCAGAGAAGGGTCATCTGTCTGTCTCTGGTCAGTGAGTGTGGCCAGAAAACATCTCTGCATCGGGTCACTGCTGGCTGCAAATCCTCAGAGAACACCAGCCATGGGGACAGGTTTGCCTTCCAGCCCCAGGGATGGCACAGAGCAGGACTCAGAGGGAGCTGCTGTCTGTGCCACAAACAAAATGCCACCTCCTCAACAGCTTTCCACTTCTGCCAACTCACAGTTCACCTTTCTAGAGGTGATATGTGAGAGCATATGTTGGAAACCTCTCCACGAAGCCCCACTCACAGCAGGTCAAGGCTGTGTGGTGTCTCCTGCCCCATGGACCTCACAAGCGGTCCCCAAATGCCTCTGTAAGGAAGCAGGCAGGGTGACAGCCCAGCAAATCGACACAGGTGAGAGCTGGGATTATTTGAGCTTCATCTGAACAGCCTGAGCAAGTCAATGGGCCAAACTACAATTGCTGGTGAAGTCACAGCCTTGGGTGCTGCTGCAATTTCTCTGTTTTCAGAAAACACCATCCCAGCCAACCTTGCTGCCTCAGAGGACATGTGTTACCTTTGCTACACAAACACCCAGATAAAC